TTTCTCTTATATTACATTCGATTACTTGATTTTTAACTTTTTTTTATTAACATTAATTAATATTAGTAATATAAAAATATATATCTTAACACAATTTGTAATGAATTCCGAATCGTAATTCTGTAATGGTTAAATTTAAACAGCTTTAAAATATACACGTCATTTTGTTTTTTTATAAGAAACTTGTTTATAAGAAACTAGTACTAGAAGTCACAAAGTCATAAGAAACTTTAACTACTGCGTTACTTTTTAATGAGAATTAATTAAGAGTTCAAGGAATATTTCCTAATTTTTACCTACTTATCGCATCAAAATATAGATGAACTCGTGTAATTTGAATTTTGAAGTTGTTTCAAAATATGTTCAAAATATAAGAGTTTTCAAATTATGGTAGTTTATTCCTCAATATAAAATCCTTAAGGGGTCGTCCATAAATTACGTCACGCTATAACTATAAATTCAAAATTCGCTTCTTTAGTGTTACGATTTTGTGACGAGGGGGAGGGGGTTCGAAAATGATCAAAAATTGCGTGACGTAATTTATGGACAACCCCTAAGGTAGCGAAGAATTTTTTTATTTAATTAGCACGTGCAATCGAGTGGAATTCCATTCTATAAAAATTGAAACACGTATGTTAGAAATATATCTCAAAAATACATATAAACAAAATTAAATATCCATACCAAAATATCCAAATTGCATACCCGTACGGGAAGAGAGATCGTCGCGTGCGATTGACCACTCTCTTTTTTACCAAGTATTTTTTGCTTTATTTAGTTTTATTATGAAAATTGAGCAAGATATTTATTAATTTTTTTAAAAACGAAGAAAGTAAGCTTGTGTATATTTGGATGCAAGGAGTGTACGTTACAATTTATTTTGTAAAATATACGAAGCTTGGTGCCAGAAATCTATGTTAATTTGTACCGATTCCAAAAGTAATACTAACTGTTCCTAATGTAATAGTGTGAATGACATACATTTTTCAAACTTAGTACAAGTATGCGAATCTGACTCAACGGACATTTGTTTTTGAAAGTTACGTTCTAAACGGCTTTTAAATGTTAGCTAAACTTTTTCTAAACGTTTTAATCTTTAGAATGGTTAGAAGACGTTTAAAAGATGTTTAGATCGTAGCTTTTAAAAATAAATGCCCGTTGGGAAAAAAAATCAATAATGCGAAAAATAAAAATGATGAAACGCTGTAGTTTCAACAAGAGTCCATTTTATACCAATCATTTTAAATGAATAGTAATCTTAAAGTATGATTCATTTAAAACTTGTTATCAATTTGACTCGCAAATTGTTAATAATTTACATATAAAATTGACAAATACCATTTGACAATATGGTATATGACAAATATACGTTTACATATGGTATTGACAAATCTTTCATCACTACTTAAGTCTCATTAAGTCATCAAAAAAGAAACAAAAACATTACCAAAAATTTAAAAAAGAAAAAGAACTACAAAAATGAAATAAAATACAAAAAATATAAAAATTCTTTTTGAAAAGTTAAAAAAGCAATCCAAAAAAAATTACTATTCCTTATTGCTTAATGCTAAAACATATTAAAACTTATTTGCTTAATTGCTAAAACATTTGGAAACGCTAAAAAAACATGGAATGTTATTAAAGAAATAACAGGCGTGGAAAATGTGAAAATCGATAATTTCCCAAAAAGATTGCAAAGAGATGGTATATAGGAGATGCTTTTTTAAATAAAGAAATTGCAGAAACATTAAATGACTTTTTTATAAATATAGGAAAAAAACTAGCCAGAGCAATTCCTGAGGGGAGTAAATCATTTAAATCCTTTTTGAAAAAACCAGATTCCATAATGGATGAGTCGGAACTTCTGGTTGATGAACTTCGGCTAGCAATTAGTATGTTGAAAACAAATAAGAGTGTGGGTCTAGATGAAATTAATCCCGATGTCGTAAAAGCGGTCTCTGATATTATCGAGAAACCTCTTTTTATAATTTTTAGTCTTTCCCTAAGAAACGGCATTTTTCCTGACCAACTAAAACTAGCAAAAATAATTCCGATATACAAAAGTAGCGATTATTCGATAAAATCTAACTATAGACCAATTTCCATACTTTCCTGTTTTTCTAAAATACTAGAGCGTATTATGCACAGCAGGCTGTATAATTATCTTGAAACTAATAACATTCTTTATCATAAACAGTTTGGTTATCGCAAAAACCATTCCACGGAGCATGCAGTAATTGATCTTGCTAACCACATTCTAAATGGTTTTGAAAACAATTGTTACACACTCGGAGTATTTCTAGATCTATCTAAAGCCTTTGATACAGTCAACCACAAGATTCTTATCAACAAAGTATGTAAATACGGAGTAGCTCACTTTAACTTAAAGTGGCTGCAATATTATTTAGAAAATCGCAAACAAGTAGTACCATTTGATTTAACATGCTCCCCATTTGAGTCAATAAGTTGTGGAGTTCCACAAGGATCAATACTTGGACCT